TCACAGGCCCCTGGGCCAGTTCTCACCTCCCTTTAAACACAAGTGACATCAGGTGGCATTGTGTGCACGACAGTCCCCACCCTTACTCTTTTTTCCATCTCCAGGTCGAACTCAGTGTCCATTTCCTGGCAAATCAAGGGCTCCTGACTCCGTGTATGTGAACGTATGGACAGGCTTGATGTAATAACCTAAAGTTCGAAGTTTTGTTTGGCAAATGATACTTAGGGGCATTATTTTTCTGGGTCTATGTCCTTCATCAGACTCTCAAAGAGGCTTGAGGTCCTGCAAAAATTAAGACTGATTGGAGCAGGATGTCCATACAGGGCTCTTGAATTTGAGCCACCAGGTTTTGGCCCACTGAGGGGGTTCCCAGTTCAGCCTTCCCGCTAATTGTAGCTTTGCTGGAGGACTTGTATTTTGCAGGAGAGGTGCTGTTTTGACATCTGTAAAAGTGTAGTCACGTTGAGAGCCCCAGGCTCCAAACAGGGAAAAAGATGGTCCAGCCTGGGGCAAGACAAGTGTGGACAGGGCCAAGCAGAGGTTCAGGGAAGCCCAGAACTCTGCAGAACAAACAGAATGCAGAGTCCTGGGGACACTGGGTGCAGGAAGGCCCTGGAGGCTGCCTAATCCTGCACTGCCCCTTTAACTGTGCCAGGTGCCAGGCTAACTATCCTCACTGCCACTCTTCCCCACTGCCGCCGCTCCCCTGGGCTCTCGAGGACTGCCTTTGGCGGTGCCAGTGTATTTTTAGCCCTCCAGCAAGTGGAACAAAGCTCTCTGAGTGGCACTGCTTCTCTCTTGGCTGCGGGCAACACTCAGCAGTTCTCTGAGAAAGTGCAAGGCCCCTTTCCAGCTGCAGTGGGGTTGTGGGTCCCACTCCCCCCTTTCTCTCAGGCTCTCCCCTCAGGGGCTTGAGATAGGGACGTCCTCATCAGCTGGACAGGGGCCTGGGATGTGTGCCCAGGGTGGCCTGGGGAAGGGAGCAAGTGGGCTGGCTTTTCCCTAGGAGAGAAGGCTCACAGCACAAAGCAGGAGGCTCACCTGGCCAGGCACTAAAGGTGAGAAAATGGTGTGTCCCAGGACAACCTGGAGACAGGTAGTCAGGCAGGGCACTCTAGGCCAGGGGGCTAGGAGGATGTGTGGGTCCCAGAGCCCAGCCAGAGCAGAGAGGCATGGTGTGTGGGAGAGTGGCAGGAAGCTGCTCGGTGACCAGTGATGAGCACTCAAGGTCAACCTTGAGCATTGATCTGCTAAATATTTGCTTAGATCACTGACCTGGTGGACATCCTGCTCTCACTCCCTCCCTACCCTTGACTGGACACCTCAACCCCCTAATCTGGAGGGGTGGACATCATTTCCCAAAGAGGCTGTCTCCAGGAGGGTGTGGCTGCACGTCCCCCTCCTGTGGGGCGTGGGCTGGGGGTGAGGGTGGACAGGCTGGGGCTGGGGGCGGTGTCCTTCCCCAGCAACCCTTTGTTTGAAGTTGTTGCCTCAGCAGAGCTAGTCTAAAGCGATCAAGGTTCAGCCTTGCTGCCCACATAGAACCAAACTCCATAAGAACAAGCTACCCAGCTCCCTCCCACCAGAACCACAGACCACGAATGTAGAGAGAGGGAGGCCGCGCTTCTTAGAGGGACAGAGAGGGGAGGAGAGGGGCTTTGGTCAGGGCCTGGAAAGAATTTTTTTCTCTCTCTCATCACTCATGAACACAGATATACACATACATATCATTCCCCTGAGTGCCCTCCCGGGGTGGCTAAACTCTGCACAGGCACCATCCTCAGAGTCATTGTAACCCTTGAGTCACTTTGTTCCACATAAGAGTTGGAAACCAGGATTCAGAAAGATTAAGCAACTTGTCCAAGCTCACGAATGACCTGCTGCACCTAAGAAGGGCAGAGAAGGACAGGGAGATCGCGCACCGTTCTCTGAGCTTCCAGAGCAGTGTTTCTTCAACCTTTTTTATTTTACGGCCCACTTGAGCCTATAGTTAAAATTCCACGGCACACTTACATTATATTGATCCAAAGAAAACCTTAAAAAATATACTTACTGGGTGGCGCCTGTGGCTCAAAAGAGTAAGGCGCCGGCCCCATATGGTGGAGGTGGTGGGTTCAAAACCAGCCCCAGCCAAAAACTGGAAAATATATATATATATACACAATATATATTTTTAAATATATAACATATACAGTATATATATACTGTACTTTGAACTTCTGTATATGAACTGTACTTTAAAATATATATATACTATACTTTGAACTTCTATATATGAACTGTACTTTAATATATATATATTTTAAAATATATATATATACTATACTTTGAAGTTCTTTCAAAAATAATTTAATGACATTTTCACGGCACACCAGCTGAAAGTCACCACCCTAGAGCTAGGGGAGAGGTGGGGCAGAGCTGCCATGCCTGCAGGACCAATCATTTTCCCAAATCATTTCTGCAGAATTAAACTGACTTGATTAAGTCATTATTGTTTGGGTTTTCTGTCACTTGAAACCAAATTGATACTAAATAGAATGCTTGTGTCCGGCTGCCCACCCTCTGGAGTCACCCCTGCCTGTGCCCGTGCTGCTCTCTCTGGCTGCAGCCTTTCCCCTCTGGCTGTGGCTGTCTCTATTTTTTCCTCAAGGCCCAGCTAAAACGACCACCCCTCTGTGATGCCTTATCTGATGACTGCCCCCTTAGGAACTATGAACTTCTTATCCTTCTAGGTTTCCTGACTCTCAGTTTACTTCTGGGGTTGAAATCATCCGACCTGCTTGGTGTGTTTTAATTCTTCATTGTGTATGTATCTTACTCAGTAGACTGGAAGAGATGGTGTTTGTTTTGGCTTAATGGCAGTGATGTGCTGGTAAACCAGCTCGCTGGGAGAAAAAGTGCCCTGATTTGCAGCACTAGTCACTTCTCAGGGTGCAGATACTCCTACCATGGTCAATTTCAAGCCATGATGGTTTAACAATGGGCTCACAAAATTCCTGAATATTTAACCATTGGCTCTCATGAGCCAGTGCTGGCAGGCTCTGGCTTGCTACTACTTACAGGTCAACCTGCTACTTAGCCTTAAGGTTAGCACTTAGTTGGTGTACAACAGGCTAGTGCCACAAATCCTTACTAGGGTGATTATTTTACTCAATTTTTTTTTCCCTGAAGCCCCTTCTTTGTTCCTAGAAGAATTTAGAAAGGATATTGGGGAAGATCTTTTGTAAATATGGTGACAGTCCTTCTCTCTTCCCTATGTCTATGCCCCATTGCACTGTGAATTTTCAGCTTCTGGACTGATTTCCAGTCCTTCAATCAGGGATGACCTTTGGGCTTAGCCATTGGAATATGTTGGGAGTGACTTTACAATAATTCTAAGACTGAGCTTCAAGAGGCCTTGAATACATCTGCTCTTGTCTTGGGATCCTGTTAGTCACCACACATAAAGCTCTGGCTGTCCTCTGAGGATGACACACCACATGGTATACCCTGTTGTGAGCCATCTAGATCAGCTGGGCCCAGTAAACCCAGCAGCTGGCCAAAGATGTATGAATGAGTTTAGATGGAAACCAGAAGAATCACCTAGCTGAGCCCAATCCAAATTCCTAAAGTGAGGAATTGTGAGCAAATAAATGGTGGTTGTTTTAAACGACTAAATTTTGGAGTGGTTGTGTAGCAAAAGCTAATGGATGTACCATCCTTACATTCAGAATTAGCTTAGCTTTTGCCTGGAATTCTACCTTTATCTGAGTGGGGTGGAGACAGCCCCCTGTTCCCAGCTATGAGCAAGGATACCAGGCATCAGACCTGTTGATCCTTTGCCCTAGAGCATGGGTTCTGGAAGAGTCTTACATCACCTCTCACTCCCTGACAAACACAGCCTATAGGAGCTCAGAAAATGTGACCCCCCTGGCCTGATGGACGAGCTAGACAGGAGGCAAGGAGTTTTACAGCTACAGACATGAGTCAGGTGAGCTCTTCTGCTCTTTGGTTTTTCTTGTGCCAGGAAGTCATGGGGCTGGGAGCTGCCTTTTTCCTACTGATCAATTAAGTTTTAATTCCCTTCTTTTGGGAAATGGCTGGCCAGGAACAGAAACTCACAAATCCTTCCCTTGTCTGCCCCACAGAATGATGATAATGATGGTGGGTTTTTTGGTCCTAACATATTTGGGTGGGAAATATGGAAAGAGCAGTGTCTTGAACCAAACCTAATATATTTCTACTTTCAGTTCAGGAGTAAAATCTTTCTTATAATCTGTGAAGGAGTGTGTGAAAAACCAAACCCAAACCAAACTGCCCTCCAGGTTTGAACTATTGTAGCAGAAAAGAGGCATTCTAGAGAAGGGGAGAGGAAGCAGGCCATGAAACAGAATTGCAGCTGTGTGCAGTGGTGGTGTGTGGTTCCCCTCTACCCAGCTGTGTGACCTTGGTCGGGTAAGTCACTTGACCCCTCTAAGACTACATATCACATAGGGCTGGACTGGGGAGCTCCACGATCCCTTCACGATAGAGGATTTTTACTAGTTTAAAGGGAAAAGGCAGGGAGAGCCAGAGGGGCTCCTGACGTTTGAATGTTTATCCTCAGAGGTGTGTATTGACTCTGTGCCATTGGCCCACAATACACTCGTTGTGATGTCATGAAAGTAGTGGTGGCAATACACACTCATGCCTGTCCCAGCTTGTATTTGACCTTGAGATGCTGTGAGAACATACACTCCCAACATCAATGTTGCCATCATTGAGCAATGTGGCATCTTCCATCGATAAGCTCTGTGACCCTGGCAGATTACTCCACCTCCCTGATCTTACATTTTTAGTTCTAAAGCAGTGTTTTTCAACCTTTTTAAAAATCTCACGGCACACTTGAACCTGTAGTTAAATTTCCACAGCCCAATTAACATCATGTTGACTAAAAAAAAAAGAGAGAGAGAGAGAAGAAAAGAATATACTTACTGTGCTTTGAACTTCTTTTGAAAACAATTTATTTATCTTTTTTTTAATGTTAGATGGGTAATGTACCAAAGTCATAACAAGATTTGTGGGAGGCACATCTCACACATGTGCATGAAAATCCAATCGTCATGCTTATGAATTGCAAAAGGATCTGTTTAATTATCTTTAAAACTTTTTTAGGCCAGGTATGGTTGCTCACACCTGTAATCCTAGCCCTCTGGGAGGCCGAAGCAGGCAAATTGCCTGAGCTCACAATTGCCTGTTTGAGAACAGCCTGCGATAGACCAAGAACCCATCTCTAAAAATAGCCAGGCATTGTAGCAGCCACCTGTAGTCCGAACTACTTAGGAGGCTGAGGCAAGAGGATCTCTTGAGCCCAAGAGTGTGAGGTTGCTGTGAGCTATGACACCATGGCACTCTATCAAGGGCAACAAAGTGAGACTCTGTCTCAAATAAATAAATAAATAAATAAAATTTTTCATGGCACATCTAAGATCCTCTCCTGGCACACCGGTTGAAAATCACTGCTCTCACATATGATGCCATGTGAAGCTTTTACAATAGTGACCACAATGAATATTGAATGAAGACATGTTTAGTGAAGCTGTATGGTTTATCACATACAACATATATGGAAGTTTATTTTTGGAAAGTTGTGTTGACCTGCAGGTCTAATTTGGCTCTAAGCAGCCGCACTATGTATCGGACCTTCTGGGATGTTCTCACTTTCAGTTTCAGAGACTTTTTGTTCAGTTTTAGATGAACACCTGGGACTTTTTTTTTTTGCTGTAAAATGTAATTGTTTTTCTGTGTTTTATAGGTACACCTTTGGCGCTTATCTCTTATTGACACCTCTGGCATCAGAGAGCTGTTAAAAGAATTAAATGGGCTCGGCGCCTGTGGCTCAAGCGGTTAAGGCGCCAGCCACATACACCTAAGGTGGCGGGTTCGAATCCCCAGCCCGGGCCCGCCAAACAACAATGACGGCTGCAACCAAAAAATGGCCGGGCGTTGTGGTGGGCGCCTGTAGTCCCAGCTACTTGGGAGGCTGAGGCAGGAGACTCGCTTGAGCCCAGGAGTTGGAGGTTGCTGTGAGCATGATGCCATGGCACTCTACCCAGGGGGATAGCTTGAGGCTCCGTCTCAAAAAAAAAAAAAAAAAGAATTAAATGAAATATTCTACCTGAAGCATGAAGCTTAGTACCTGTAGATGGCCAATCAACAGCAGCTGCTAATGTTGTTGCCCCCATAACACTGGACGTTCACTCCTGCTATGGAGAGTTTGGTCCTCAGCTCTGGCTGCCAGGACCACTCAAGAACTGATGAGCAGGGAAGCTCAAGTGTTGGGAATACAGACAGCGTAGTTCCTCAAACCACAGGTCACTTCCTCACCCAAGGTCGTTCCCCCTCCATCTGCTCCTGTTTTCGGAACAGGAGCCTTCTCCCTTGCTGCCCATACCCGCCATTGCTGAACAGATCAGAAAAGACTCAAAGATGTCCTTAAGGAACTAGAGTTCTTTTGATAGTGGATAATCCCAGGCAACCCAGAACCCAGTGAGTTCAACACAGAAGGTGTTAAAGTGGTCTACTTGTCCCCAAACACAGTATCTCCAATTCAGCCTCTAGAGCAGGGGGTCATAAGGACCTTCCAGGTTTATTACACATGGTGCTCTAGGGAAAATATTGTCAGTGCTATGGAAGGGAACCCTGATAGAACATCACGAGTGCTGGGAAGGGTTACACCATTGAGGATGCCATTATTGTTATAGAAAAAGCTGTAAAAACCACCAAGCCTGAAACAATAAATTCCTGCTGGAGAAAACTGTCCAGATGTTGTGCATGACTTCATAGGATTTACAACATAGCCCATCAAGGAATTCTTTCAAAGAGATTGGGGAGATGGCAAAAAAGGTGGGAGGGAAAGGGTTTTAAGATATGGATCTTGGGGAAATTGCAGAGCTAATAAGACACCACACCAGAGGAACAAACAGAAGACAACTTGATGGAGATGAGGGCTTCTGGACCAGGGCCAGATGAGGAGGAGGAAGGCGGAGCAGTTGTGCCAGGAGACGTGCTGGGCCTTTGACGCCTTTTACAACATGGACTCTATGTGGACACTGCGACTGAAGCAAGTGGTGGAAGGACTGGTATTATAGAGAAATTTTTAGAGTAATGAT